CACCCCCTTCTTAACCTCCCCTCAAATCTTGAGCGCTGGAGGAAGAAAGAGAAACAAAGAGAGAGAAAAACGCTGTCGTCGCTGGATCTGGAGATCGCGAGGAGAGAGAGAAGTCACGGAGGGGGGTTGCTCTGGGTTTCCCTTTTATAGGGAAACCCTAGCCAGCTCATGACAGCCTGTCGCGATCTTTCCTCATGGTCACTAGCGAAGATCAACTCGACCTCGCCTGGAGGGAGTCCCGCTCGAGCTCACCTGCAAGACACCCGCTCGAGCTCACCTGCAACACCACGAGCTCGCTAGCACGTCTTCGAGCTCGCCTGTGCCACGCACGTTCGACCTTGCCTGTAAGGCCTTCGCTTGAGCTCGACACGAGCTCGCCTGCCCTAGTCGTCGACTTCACCTGCAGAGCCTCGACCCCCCTGCGCTCGACTTCGAGCTTGCTGACTGGACCTCGCCTGAAATCCGTGACGTCGATCTCGAGCTAGCCTAACTTTGTTGAGCTCTCCTGAATCGTGGGGTCTTCGTCACCGTCGAGATTTGGGTCTACACTCCTTTTTCCAACAATCTCCCACTTGGAGACCAAACTGTCATCAGCAAGCTCTCTTAACAAGTATCTTCTCATCGTATGGCTCTGCCCTCATCTCTCACATATGAAGGCTAACTAAAATTGCGCACAACTCCAGATTCTGAATGATAACTACTTTAGTTAACATATCTGCAAGATTTTGGCTCCCCAAAATCTTTTCTAACTATAACTTCTCGTCCTCAATCATCGAGCGTATAAAGTGGTAACGTAACTCGATGTGCTTTGTTCTGGCATGAAATACTGGGTTCTTGACAATGTGTATAGCACTCTGGCTATCACAATAAAGAACATTGTTCCCCCGCTTCAGACCCAACTTTTTCAAGCACCCGGTTAACGAAATTATCTCCTTACTCGCCTCTATCACTACGACATACTCTGCCTCAGTTGTGGACAACATCACAATCTTCTGCAAACAAGAGACCCAGCTTACTGCTATTGACCCTAAGGTATAAACATACCCCGTGGTGCTTCTCCTTATATCATGATCACCGGCAAAATCCGCATCTACGTATCCTTGCAGTACCAACTCCTTTCTCCCGAAATACAATGGTATATTCATAGCCCCTCTTAGATATCACAATATCCACTTCACGGCCTCCCAATGCTGCTTCCCTGGGTTGCTTACATACATGCTCACAACTTTTACTACATGGGCAATATCCGGCCTCGTGCAAACCATTGCGTACATCAGACTACCGATGGCTGATGAATAAGGTATCTTCCTCATGTGCTCCTTCTCTGCATCTGTCTTGGGTGATTGTTCTCCAGATAACTTGAACTGACTTCTAAGGAGCATGCTAACGACCTTAGCATTCTGCATGCTGAATCTCTAAAGTACTTTCTCAAAGTATTCAGATTGACTTAACTTTAGCGTCTCCTCTGCCGCATCTCGGTTAATCCGCATCCCAAGAATCTGCTTCGCTACACCCAGATCTTTCATGGCAAACTCCTTTGCTAACTGCTTCTTCAGCTTGTTTATCTCTTGTAAACACGGTCCTGTAACTAACATGTTATCAACATATAACAATAACACGATATAGCTGGACTCGAACCTCTTGAAGTAACAGCAATGATCTGAATTGTATCTGCCATAGCTATTGCTCTGTATGAAGTTATCAAACTTCTTATACCACTGTTTTGGGACATGTTTCAATCCGTATAAGCTCTTCTTGAACCTACATACCATCTCTTTATTTCCTTCCTCAATGAAAGCAACAGGTTGCTTCATGTAGATTTTTTATCCAAGTCACCATGAAGAAAGATAATTTTCACATCTAACTGCTCAAGGTAGAGATTTTCAGCAGCTACCAATCTCAACACCACCCTGATGGTTGTGAGCTTCACAATAGGGAGAAATATCTTCATATAATCCACTTCTTCCCGCTGTTAGAACTCCTTCATGACTGATTTGGCCTTGTATCTCTTCCTTCCATCACTCTCCTGCTTAACCCGGTAAACCCACTTGCTATGTAAGATTTTCTTCTGTGCAGGTAGCTGTGGCTAAATCCCATGTCTCGTTAGAGTGGAGAGAATCCATATCTTCTTGCATCGCATGCTCCCACTGCTGAGATTCGCTCACTTGTATAGCCTCCTCATAGCATTCTGGTTCTCCGCTATCTGTCAAAAGTAGGTAGTCTAGTGACGAGAGATATCTGGGATTCGGTTTGGATACCCTGGATGACCTCCTAAGCTCCTCACCTTGGGTAGTCGGTTTTCTACCTGGAGTCTCCTCCGTTCTTCGGTCAGAATTGATATTGTCTCCCCCACCTGAAAGTTCCTCCAAATCCATGTACTCGGATGTGCTCGCATCTGTAGTGCTGCTCCCACTGCTTTAGTCAACCTTGGCATTGTCTCTGTCCTTGTACATCACTTCCTCATTGAATATGACGTCTCGGCTCCTGATGATTTTCCTATTCTTCTCATCCCAAAAATGATACCCGAGCTCATCAATGTTGTACCCAATAAATGTACACTTCAATGACTTAGCTTCCAGCTTGTCTCTGCTATGATCACTGATGTGGACATATGCCACACAACCAAAGATTCTCAAGTGTGAGAGATTAACCATCTTACCACTCCAAACCTCTTCCGGAATCTCAAAGTTCAATAGAACTGATGGCATGTGATTTATCAGGAATGTTGTTGTATGTACTGTGTCTGCCCAAAAAGTTTTTGGTAGACCTGCATGTAGACGCATGCTCCTAGCATGCTCTGTCAACGTTCTGTTCATTCTTTCTGCTACGTTGTTCTGTTACGGCGTCTCTGGAGTAGTCATCTTCAAACGAATCCCGTTTAGAGCATAGAACTTCTTTAACTCTTCCAGTTTATATTCTCCACTATTGCCTGATCTCAAACACTTTACTTTCAAATCTGTCTCATTCTCCACTCTGGCTTTCCACTTCTTGAAGATGTTAAACACCTCTGACTTTTCCCTCATGAAGTATACTCACACCTTCCTCGAGTGATCATCGATAAAGGTGACGTAGTACGTCGAACTTCCAAAAGAAGACACGCTAGCTGGACCTCATACATCTGTATGAACAAGCTCTAGTTTGTGAGATTTAGGTGGTCTTCCACCCTTTAGAAAACTAACTCTTTTCTGCTTCCCGAAGATACAGTCTTCACAAACACCGACTTCCATCGAATCGATGCCGGTTAGCTTTCCTTCTGAGTATAGAATCTTCATACCCTTCTCACTCATGTGTCATAGCCTATTGTGCCACAGATCTGCACTCTCCTTGCCTGCTGTAATTACGAGAGTATCACTCGCATGTGAAGTTAGGTAGAGGGTACCGGTCTTGTTGCTACGGGTAACTACCATTGTATCATTGGAGATTTTCTACGAATCTCCGTTGAATGTTGTAACATAACCTTCTGTTCCAAGCTGGCCAACCGAAATAAGATTTCTCTTTAGTTTCGGTACGTGTCTGACATTCTTCAGAGACCACTTGGATCTCTTTTTCTGTATTTGCACATCACTTCTTCTAATGACACTACAGGGTTCATTATCCCCTAAGTATACTTTCCCAAAGTCCCCTACTATATAGTTCTGAAAGAGTTTCCTTTTAACAGTTGTTTTGAAAGAGGCTCCTGAATCAATGACCCATGAATCGGAATCGCTATCCATAGCGAAAATCAATGCATCTTGCACAATATGAGCCTCCTACTCATTTTTATCCTTCTTTGGTGCTTTACAGGTAGAAGACATGTGGCCCTCTTGACCGCAGTTCCAACATTTCCCTTTAATAGGTCTCACCTTCGAGTGTCTCACCTTCGAGTTTGACCTCTTTTTCTTCGACTTCGATCGATTCCTATTTTGGTTTCCCCTATTGTGACTTCTGTCTCTCTACTCGAGACTTAGGCCTGAACTTGAACCTTCTGATTTATTTGATTTTCTTCTAACCTCCTTGGATAGAATCATATCTACTACCTCGTTCAGCTTTAACTTCTCTTTCCCCGCCGAGTTGCTGATAACGATCATGCAACCTGCCCAACTGTCCGGCAACTATGATAGTATCAATAAGGCCTGCACTTCGTTATCAAACATGATGTCGACTGAGATAAGTTGATCAACAATCGTGTTGAACTCGCTGAGATGCATCGTGAAGGAACATCCTTCTGTCATCTTGAGGTTGAATAGTATTTTAACAAGATGCAACTTGTTTGCAGCTGACGGTTACACGTACATCGTTGCGAGCGCTTCCATAAGCCCCATCGTCGTCTTCTCCTTTAATATATTGTATGCTACAGATTTTGTAAGGGCTAATCGGACCTGCCCTAGTGCTTTTCGATCTAATATTTCTCAGTCCTCGTCAGATTTTTTTTCTTCTGTCCTTTTACTTTACCCATCAGCGGACGGTAAAGATCTTTCTGGTACAGATAGTCCTCCATCTGTGACTTCTAGTAAGCGAAGTCTGATCCGTCAAACTTCTCAATTTTAGATTTGCCTTCTTCTGCCATTTCTTACACACACAGATATGAACAAGGGCTCTGATACCAGTTGTTGGGGAATTCAAGCTACTCGACCACCTGTCAAATATGAACCCTCTACGGACTTTTCCCTACCAGATCTTGTGTTAAGACAATAGAAAGAAGAAATCACAGCAAATAAAATTACAAGCAAAAGAACACCGAGTTTTAACTAGGCGTGAGATTTTACAATCTGTAAAATCTCTTCTCAAAATAAATCAAAACAGGAACTCTCTCTCTCTCTCTTAAATCCCCTTCTTAATTTCCAAGCTCACCCCCTTCTGTTTTGTTAGACACATATTATGCACTGCATGGTTTGGCCTATTCCTATAATGTATCCCATAAATTACGAAACAATACCGGGCAAATACCCTCTAATTAAATACAAATGCATGTAGCGAGATTTTCAGAGGAATTTGATTTTCTATAAGAAATTTCCGGGAATTAAAGACATTCAATCAGATAGTTCTCATTCCTCTCATGCTTTAAAATTAATAGATAGATATGGCCGGAGAGCTAGCATTTATTGATAACATCATTCACAGGCAATCATTCATTGGCATGTTCCTCTCTTATTTAAGCAGTGAACATAGATATAGTAAGCTGCGCTAGCCAGCAGCATACACAGACACACGTAGTAGGTGGATCGGATCAGTTGATTGATTCGGTAGTAGTAGTAGTAATAACAGTAGCAGCAGGCTTGGCGAACCGATGACCGTAGTTCTTGCACTCGTAGTAGTACATGTCCAGACAGCGGAAGCCGGGAGGAAATAAGACTGGTTCACACCTACGACAGTCTTCACGGCAGCCCAGGAGAGTCACATCCTCGCAATTGCAAAGCGGTGGCAATGACCTTGTGCAAATGCCACATACGTCGCAGGGAGGACCCTGACAGTAGTCGTCGTTGAGACTTGTGATGCCCCCTTGCTCTGCGCCATATATAGCATTATTAACTGTTGTTATATTTATGCATGATTGGTATTTTTTTTTTCTTTTTTTTTTTCCGAAGAAGAAATCACCTATTATGATCAGTACGTAATATTGATCAACACGACTAGCTAGATCCTTAGCGACTAGGGATCAAAAAAAAAATGTAATTAAAGTCGAGTGCGACTACGATACTCTACCGATGGTTTTGAGAACAGTACCATTGGGATGGGAACGAGCATTGGATCGAGCGGCCAAGAGCGCGGCGGCTACGAACACGAACACCAGAATCGATGCTGCGCCCCTCTTCATTTTGCCTCGAAGTTAATTATTGCTGGCTGCTTCTTAGTTTAGCTCGATGCCGTTCTCCAATCTCCTCTCCTTTGCTATTTATAGAGGGGGCTTTTCCCCCCGCCCCTAAAATAGAGTTGGATTATCTCAAGAACTAGAGGACCCAACGAATTAATGAGAATGGCAGGAAGTTGGTTGGAATTTAATGGGTTGGTTCATGTAGGGCTGATGCCTAATTAAGACACACCAGCTTCTCATGGACACAATATATAGCATTAGTTAATTTATTTGTATTATATACCGATAAGCAACGGTTTACTATCTTGATAGGTGTGAATCTCAACAAAAGCTATTATTGTTGCCACGTATGTAAGATTTGGAAAACTTGGCTAAATAAAGCAAACTAATTAGTATCTTTTTATGTTTTGCAGTATGGGCAGTATAGTCCTAAGATGATAACAGTTGCATCTCTTCGGTTACTTCTATAAACCAGAATGTGAGGAAAATTGATATTTATTAGTTGTCACCTTCCTTTTTTATTTCTATAGCGAGAGGTACGGGTAAATGGTAAACAGAGCTAATTTAGTAGGACATAGTTAAGTTAGTGGATGATTTTGGACCGAACAAAGAATGCCCCATGAATTCTTCTATTTATACATATACTTGTATTTATGTCCTTTTTAAAGGGCAGGTTACACGAAACTCCGAAGAACTTTCAGCTTATTAAAATAACCCGCAATAGCTTTCAATGTAGCACTAGACCCCCAATAACTTTTTTTAGAAAACTCCTGATATCATGTGGGTAAATTATCCTAAACCCCTAATAACATTTAAAATGCCATTTCTATTGTTTTTTAGTTCCAATTTATGGGGTTCTCTGCAAAACATGGAATACTTAATGGGGTTTCTGCTATTCCATAAGTTTATGGAGGTTTAGTGCAATTTTGAAAGAGAATGGGGGTTTGCAACAAAATAATTGTTTGGGGTTTAGTGTAATTTACACTTTTTAAAATTTTGACAAAATAGAGTTTGTTTGGCCATGGGTTACAGTATCCTTCAGTGATGTTGTTGGCTCAGGTACGTATTTTCTAGAAAACTTCGTAAACACAAATTTCTATACTAAAGATTATATTTCATTTTTTATGATTATATTTGGTATTTAAAGAAGTTAATAAGAAAATTAACTAGTAGGGAAGTAAGACAAACTAAATAATTCATTAAAAGAGAAGCATAAGCATCAAAATAACTAATTACACTGTCTTCAATATAATTAAATGATCCTTAACCAATGCCCCAGAAGGCACTGGTTAAAAGGACATAACCAGTTCAACATAGAAAGAATAATTCATGAATGTGGAAGCAACTCCTCAAAATTCGAAACATGATCTTAGCTAAATATGGCAATGCTGAAAATGTGGTGGATTATTAAACTTGGTTCTTATATTTTGTGCGTGACAATTAGGAATAAAGAATAAGTGTGAATGTGATGAGTGATTGTTGTGAATATTTGCAAAAGATAATAAATTGAATTTTAGAGGAGAGAAGGAAGAATTAAAGAATAAATGAAATCACAAGGCAAGAAATATGAATTAATAAAATCAAGAAATAAAACTAAGAATGAAAAGAAAATTTAAGAAAGTCAAGATGGAGGATTCAAAAGAGGTAAGAAATCTAGAATATAATCCACTAACCAATTTCAATTACAAAATATAAACTATTCTCTTTTTATCATATTTCAACTTAGATTTATTAAGCATAGATTATCAAACCATTTAAGGAAAGTGTAACCTATCAAATTATCATCTAAGTTAAAATTACTATTCATGATAAGAACAACAACATGATAATAATCCTAGAATTCATAAGCATAACCTATCAAACCATTTAAGATAAGTATAGATTATCAAATTCTTCTTCTACCGATTAGTTTTCTAGTTGATTATCCTAAACATGAATATTTTAAGTGTAAGAGAATAATTTGCATAATATAAAAAAATTAGACTAGCATCATACAATTCTAAGATTCCTATAAGAATTAATTTCACATCTTAAGAAATAAAAACAAGAAGAAAAAGAACTAATTACAAAATTAAAAAGAAAATAAAAATCTGAACTATGAACAAGAAATAAATCTAACTACAAAGAATTAAAATCTAAACTACAAAATAAATTACAAAAAATAAATGCAAGAAAATAAATCTACTCTACAAATTAAAGTGCAAAAAAAAATAAAAAGACAAGAAAATAAATCTACACTACAACCATGAATGTAAATCTAACTAATAAGCAATAATAAAGAAATTACTAAAAAGAAATAAAAGAGAAAAATAAAAGTTATATGTATATAATTTTTTTCTTCACTCTTTAATTCTTGGTGATTGTTTTCTATTTTAACGGGCTTTCTAAGTGACCATTTAACGAGTTTTGGGCCAATAAATCCCAACCTAATTGGGCTTAATTACTCAGTCAACTTAGGCTTTATAAGATAGAATCACCTTGAATTTAAGAGTTTTGTTTTTTTATGCTTATTTTTCGCACTCTTCTTTTATAAGGTTAGTTTTTTTTAATATATATATATATATGTGTGTATAAGTATATATAGTTTGAAAAAAAAATTGTGTAAATCAAGATAACTTGAAAAAAAAAAATATTTTCAACTCCAAGTTAAGCACGCAAAAATTTTATTATTTTTAATTAAAAGTCTAAGGTAAGACTTAAGTAAAGTATACTACTTGAAAAATCATTTCTTAAGAATTTTATTTAGAGTTATCATAAAAGGTGAACTTGAGTATATCACTAACTAGAATTAGAAAATTTAAAATCTATCAATTAGATCAATTATTACTTAACTCTATTAATTGGCAATTGATAATATTTTTATAAATTTTTTTTAGAAAAAGAAAAAAATGACAAAAATGCAACTAAAAAGGTAAAATAAAGGGAAAAAAATAACTAATTCCCACCCCCACACCTAAATTTTGCATTGTCCTCAATGCAAATTCGCTGATGCATAAAGTAAAGCAGATAAGACTTGAAGAACTTACATTTATTCGGTCGACAATGATGATAAGGATCTGCAATTACTATTAGTATGAGGATGAAGAAATCAAATAAGAGAGAGAAATTTGTAATTTTTTTATTTTATTTTATTTATTTATTTATTATAAATTTTTTTTATTTTTTATAGATAATGAGGTTTATGAAGAACCAATACCTCTTCCTCTCCGAGCGTAGAAAATTCTAAAAATGGTTTTAGACGTTGACCATTAATTTTGAAAATGTCACCATTTTTAGGATTTTCTATCTCGATAGCCCCATGTGAGAAAACTTGTTTTACAATAAATAAACCTGTCCATCGTGCTCTCAATTTCCCAGGAAAAAGATGTAATTTTGAATTGTACAATAAAACTTTCTGTCCTGGAGAGAAATTTTTTCATAAAATTGATTTGTCATAAAAAATCTTGGTTTTTTCTTTGTAAATTTTTAAGTTTATGTATGCATCATTTCGAATTTCTTCCAACTCATTTATTTGGAGCAATCTGTTCTTACCTGCCGAGTCTGAGTCAAAATTCAATTGTTTTATCGCCCACATTGCTCGATGCTCCAACTCCACTGGTAGATGACAAGCTTTTTCAAACACTAGTTTGTATGGTGACATCCCCAAATTGGCCTTGAAAGCTGTTCTATATGCCCACAGAGCATCACATAATTTTATAGATCAATCTTTTCTGTTATGATTAACTGTTTTTTCTAAGATTTGTTTGATCTGCCTGTTTGTGACCTTTACTTGTCCACTGGTTTGGGGGGTGATAAGGAGATGACAATTTGTGTGTGATTGAATATTTCCTCATTAAAGCCTCAAAAGAACGGTTACAGAAATGTGTACCGTTGTCACTGATAATCGCTCGGGGTACTCCAAACCGTGCAAAAATGTTCTCTTTCAAAAACTTGACAACGACCTTGTTGTCATTAGTTTTGCAAGCTACCGCCTCAACCCATTTTGACATGTATTCAACGGCTATTAGAATGTAAACATTTCCAAAGGAATTTGGAAATGGTCCCATGAAATCGACACCCCACAGATCAAAAAGTTCAACAGATAAGATGGGTTGTAAAGACATCATATTTCTTCTAGTGACCTTCCCTAAAAGCTGACAGTGGTTACAGACTTTGCAAAACTCATATGAATCCTTGAAAAGAGTGGGCCAGTATAGCCCAGATTGGAGAATTTTTTTCAGCTGTTTTTTTTTTACCAAAGTGGCCCCCAGAGGCTTGCTCATGACAAAAGGATAGAACACTCCTAGTTTTTTCAGTGGGAGCACACCTCCTAAAGATCTAATCAGGACAGTATTTGAACAGATATGGATCATCCCAGTAAAAATATTTTACTTAGGAGAGAAAACAGGATCTATCCTGTTTGGACCAATGAGAAGGGATCTGGATCATGACTATGTAGTTCACAATGTCGGCGAACCATGGAACAAATTCGATTTCTAAGAGTTGTTCATCTGGAAAATGTTCATTGATTGGGACGGTTGATGTTGGTGCATTTAGGAGTCGAGAGAGGTGATCTGCTACGGGGTTCTCTGTTCCCCTTCTGTCAAGAATTTGGATGTCAAACTTTTGAAGAATGAGAATCCATCTAATGAGCCATGCTTTAGCATCCTTTTTGGTCAAAAGATACTTTAGTGCGGCATGATCTGTGAAAACTTTGGTTAAGGAACCGAAGAGGTAGGACCTGAATTTTTCTAAGGCAAAGACTACAGCTAAAAACTCTTTTTTCGTAACAGAGTAATTTTGTTGGGCATCATTCAGAGTCCTACTGGCGTAGTAGATCACATGCGGTTTTCCATCAAACTGTTGTCCTAAAACAGCACCAATCGTAGAATCAGATGCATCACACATCAGTTCGAAGGGTAAGGTCCAGTCCGGTGCATGAATGATAGGAGCTGTGGTTAGCTCCTTTTTCAAACATTCAAAAGCTTTGAGGCAGTCGGGAGAGAAGACAAATGATGTATCCTTGGCTAAAAGATTGGTCAATGGTCTAGCAATTTTGCTGAAATTCTTGATGAAACGTCGGTCAAAACCAGCA